TACCTAATGGGACTCAGTGCTTAGTCTAGAACAGGGGTGGGCAAAATACAGCCTGCGAGGCCAGTTTATCCGGCCTGCAGGGCCTCCAGAAATTTTTGAAAATTAAAATTTATCTGTCTTTGGTTCCTGTCAAAAATGACAGCAACAAGGGGCAGTAGGACCCAGGGGAATCCTTGGCAGGCTTCTGCAACAGCAGGGTCCACACCACCAGCCGGAAGTCCCAGCAAGGGCTTCTGGCTGGGGACCACATGGCTGCCCTGGCGCGGAAAGCTCATGTAAGGGGGGAAGGGCAGGGAAGGAGCTGGTACAGAGCATAGGGAAAACCAGCCCCTCCCCCACCCCATGGCTTTTGCTCCCTGCTGCAGCCACTCACAGCTCATGCAGAGCTGTCCTGAGGAGGCACAGGCATCCCCATGCGGGCTGTGAGTGGCTGCAGTGCAGGGTGCCGGCCATGGGGCAGGGGAGGGGCCACTTTTCCCCCACACTGAGCACCAGCTTGTAACCTGGCCCTGCCCTGGCTCCGGGCTCACCTGTCGGGGCTGTGCTGCGGCTACAGCAGCTGCGGCTGCCCCGCTTGCCGCTCTGGGCAGCGTTTGCTGCTACTGCCCACCCGAAGCTCACGCTGTGGTAGGCTGCAGTGAAGCTGCCACTGCCACCTCTGCTGCCCAGAATGCAAGCTCCAGGTGGGCAGCAGCAGCAAACATTGGCCCGTGTGGCAAGTGGGAGGGGGGCGCAGCTGCTGCTGCTGTGGCGCAGCCCCAACGAGCAAGCCCAGGGCTGAGTTACGAGCTGGTGCTGAGTGCAGGGGAAAAGCGGCCCCTCACCTGCCCCGTGGCCAGCGCTCGCAGCCTGCGTGGGGCTGCCTGTGCCTGCTCAGGACAGTGAGCAGGTGGTTGGGGCTGTGCGCTGCCCCCCGCCTGTACCGCAGGGCTAGGGGGGGCACTGGGAGTGAGCAGGTGCAGGAGCACAGCCCGCACCGGTGTCGCAGGGCCAGCATCAGCAGGGTGGCAGGGGTACATGGTCCCGGCTGGCAGGGGCTCTGTGGAGCCAGGCCAGCTACCCCCTCTCCCTGCTGGTGCAGCCCAGCCCAGCTCCACAGACCCCTGCCAGCCTGCGCCCTGCTCTGGGCCCCACTGGTGCTGGCCATGGGACATTGTTCCCAAGACATTGGGACATTGGTCCCAAGATGGTGACCAGGGGACGAGGTGTCTGTCAAGGGGCGGGGCTACCCATGCAGTCCTCGACAGCTTGCCAAAACTGGGTAAGCAGCCCTCTGCCTGAAATAATTGCCTGCCGCTGGTCTAGAAGAGCCCATTAAGCATCTCCATGATGCTTAGTTCTCAGACTGTGGATTTGTGTCTCCAGGGATCAGAGGCAGACAAGGTTCTTTGGATAGATATGATAGCTTTTATTAGACCAACTAAATAGTTGGAAAATTTGTTCTTTGCAAGCTGTTCATAGATTTCACAGGTTTCATAGACATTAGGGCTGGAAGGGACCGCGGAAGATCATCGAGTCCAGCCCCCGCCCAAAGGGCAGGAAGTCAGCTGGGGTCATAGGATCCTAGCAAGATAAGCATCCAATTTGCTCTTGAAGGTGTTCAGTGTAGGTGATTGAACCACCTCCGATGTCAGGCTGTTCCAGACCTTGGGGGCTCGGACAATAAAGACATTCTTCCTTATGTCCAGCCTGAAACGGTCTTGTAGTAGTTTATGACCGTTCGACCTCGTCATCCCTTGGGGCGCTCTGGTGAACAAACTGGTGGTCACCCCTGATAAACTTACAGGTGGCCATCAGATCACTTCTGAGCCTGTGCTTTTCCAGGCTAAAGAGCTCCATGGCTCTCAGCCTGTCATCGTAAGGTCTGTTTTCCTGACCTCTGATCATGCACACGGCTCGTCTCTGGACTCTCTCAAGCTTCTCCACATCCTTTTTGAATTGTGGAGCCCAAAACTGGACGCAGTACTCCAGCTGCGGCCTCACCAAGGCTGAGTACAAGGGGAGAATGATGTTCCCGGCTTTGCTTGAGAAGCATCTGTGGATGCAAACTAGCGTTTTGGTCGCTTTACTAGCCGTAGCATCGAATTTTTGGGCACAGACATCCTTCTTTAAGCATAAGGAGTTTGTTGTCTCCAGAGATAACATCCTTGTTAACAGCAGTATATGGAGATGAGAGATAACAGACCTGATAATCAGGGATCCTGGTTTTCTGAGAGAAAAAAAAAATCCCCAATTTTTAGATTTAAAAAAGTAATCCAAAATCCAGATTTTTCCGTGATTAAAATGAAACGCCACTAATATATATATCTATACTGGTGTTTCATTTTAATCACAGAAAAATGCAGATTTTCAGTTACTTTTTTAAATCTGAAAATTGGGAATTTTTTTTATCAGCGAAAACCAGGATACCTGCTGACTGTGCACCCAGCAACCCTATTGTCTCTCTGCAAGGTTGCGTACACACAGTCAATCCATTACCTTTCTCTAAAAGTGCAAATTTTCAAGAAATTAAATGAGTAAAGAATATCAAGCGCTTTTTGTAGAAAACAGTGATTAAATCAAAGCTATCTCATCAGTGATTTAATTCATGATTTAAATAATTATTTAAATCAAATACACCCAAGTTTTGGGGGGCTAGAAACAGACATTCAGAAGCCTGCACCTGAATTGATTCAACCTTTGGAGGTTAGTTTAACCTGGCTAGGTTGAACTGGTTTCCAACCAGACAATCCTTCTGAACTGAGGAAATTCTGGCACATGCTTGCTGTGGCTCAGGCTAGAAGCTGGGGGGCGCTAGAGCAGCCTTCTTTCCTTTCCACAAAGTTGAGCTGAGGGGTTGTAACCAGGCCCACCAGCAGGACTTTCTCAGTAGGGATGTCTGCCTGCACCATCCCAGGCTTTTCCCTGCTGGCTGTTCAAGGGGTGGGAGAGTTGTCAGCTCCCAGGCTGTTGCTAGCACTCCGAGGCAAGGGGAGGTGTGCATCTGCTGATGATGCAGAGCTTTTCAATCTTCCTACTTGTCAGACTGTGTGCAGCAGACTGACAGGGGAGCAAGGTAGCCAGGACCTGATAAGAGTCTTTATCACCTGATTAGCAAAATAATAGCCTCTCTCCCATTACTTCAAACTCTTCTTAAACAGTTTATCAGGGTGTGACCTGTTGATTAGCTCCAAAAACCCTGTTCTGTCTGCCTGCCTGTCCCAGTGAAATTGGGGACCCCCCCCCCCGCAGTAGCTGGCACACCACGTGCCTAGGGTCCATGCTGTGCGAGGGAGGGAGGGAGGGAGGGAGGAGGGGATTCCTGCTTAAGCAGTGAGTAGGGGAGGGGGAAGCCAGCAGACCCTGCTGTGTCTGCAGTCTCTGCTGAAGCCATATACAGCGCTAGCTAGCATACCACATGCTGGCTACGGTCCCTGCTGTGGGAGAGGGGAGGAAGGGATGAGAGGGGAGGGGGAGGGGGCACATGGAGGCCAGCAGACTCTACTGTGTCTGCAAGTCTGTGCTGGAGGAGGTTTGCCTAGGGGGGCAGGGCAGAAGGGCCTGCCCTGCTGTGGAGCACAGAGCCCCGCCTAGCCCAGAGAGCATGCCGGGATGTCTGGGGTGTCTAGTTTATCTTAAACCAGCAGGGGCTCTGGGACAGAATTGCATAAACTGGTTTGAGCCAAATCAGTTAAGTCTGATACTGCGTTTCAACCAGGTTTATCTCAAACCGGTTTCAGCCATTTTCAATCTGGTTTATGTGCACTGAATATCTGTTCTGTTACAGATTTAAGCCAGTTTCTGATCACTTAAACTGGTGTATGTGTAATATCTGTCCCTAGCCAGGTGTCAGTTTTTAAAAACTGAACCAAGCTACTGAAACTGATAACACTCCAAATCTGATAATCTTTGAGAATAGATGTCACTTTTACACAAAAAGCAAGTAGATGGTTCTTGGAGTATCTAAATATTTACTGTCATGAGATTCAGTATGCCCAAAACATGGTGTTCTGAAACTTAGTGAAAATGACTATTTGTAATCCTGTAATTGTGTAAAACAAGTATGAGCTCTCACCACCTTATTTTATTTCAGACTGTAAAAGGCCGTGAATATAATGGACCTCAGGGCTGTGTCCAAATCTGAGTCTATTGGACATCTGTCTTTCTTTACCTTCTTCAGCATTATTTATTTGAGAACACTTCAGTCCACCATACTCACATTTTCTTTCCCTGTTTTACTCTATCTTAGTATTCTTTGTCCTTCCTATGATTTGGAGGTTCAAGACGCATGGATGGAGGCAGTGAGATCCTAGATCCTATCCTATTAGATCCTAACCTGAATGTGCAATCCTTGGAGGCGTGGCTTTTCAGAAGGTTTAGAACCTCTGTAGCACAGGCAATTTAAGTAAATTCTTGGCCATATTGAAGTCAAGGGGAATTTTGCCATTGGTTTCAATGGAGCCAGCAGATCTATCCTTGGATATAATTAATATAATGTTACTATATGCAGAAGTAACAAAATTATAACTGCTGTTAGACTAACTTCTTTCTCTTTTCTTCCTACAGGCATTGGTGACTGATGAGAATTAAAATTAAAGGCCATGGATGAAGATGGACTTGAACTTCAGCCACATGACACAAATACATTTTTTGACCCAACAGGTCTGACAGGCGATACAGCATATAGATAAAGCTGTTCCTATTAAATATAATTGAGTGTTTGCAATGTAATTTATTGTTGCTGAGCTGTGCTTTACCGGCTTATTAATTTTGGGGTGAATTCTGTACTTGTGACTTCCGTTTGTTTAGAACTGTAGTGTTCAACATTCCCCCTCTCCAGGCCAGATGGTGAGTGCCCAGTCCATCTGTGAGCCAAATCTGGCTGTGGTCCCGATCTGGCATCTAAGGCAGGTGTGGCAGGCACCATCTGGCTGTGCAGAGGGGTGTGAGGGCAGCCCAGCCCCAACACTGAAGGGGCATAGTCTGGTCCCAGCACAGCCCTGCAGGGGAGAGGGAATGTGGCCCAGCCCCAGCATGGTCCCCTGTGGCCGTGGGGGAGGGTGGCTGTATTAACAGCCACTGCTTTCTTGCAGCCATATCTCCAGACCCATGGGGAGCCCTGTGGGCCAAATGGGATGGCTCTATGGGCCACAGCCAGAGGTTAAACACCCCGGTCCAGAATAATTAAAGGTTCTAGTTCTACCTTATTCTTTGAAAAGAGCATTGTTTAGAGATTGCCCCATTGTTATGGGGCGGTCTCAAAATTACGTGACCTTCCACGATACACTCCTATTTAGCCGAATGTTAATTTATTAAAGAAATGCTAGTGGCTGGTAAAGTATTAATAGTTTTCTAGTGTTTTATTAGCTTCTTTGTCTACTTATCTATATTACTGTGTCTGCTTAGATATACCAGAGTTCTTGTGGGAGTTAGAATTATTATGTATAACTTTAAGACAAATTAAAATAACTTAAAGCAGATAAATATCCATCACATGTTGCATACTTTTTAAATGCTGGTTTGATTATGTTTTCAGGAGCTGATGCAGCACATATGGATGGAGATCAGATTGTTGTGGAAGTACAAGAAACTGTATTTGTTTCAGATGTGGTGGACTCAGACATAACTGTACACAACTTTGTTCCTGATGATCCAGATTCGGTAGTAATCCAAGATGTCATTGAAGATGTTGTTATTGAGGATGTTCACTGCTCTGATATTATGGATGAGGCGGATGTGTCTGAAACTGTCATCATTCCTGAACAAGTGCTGGATGAAGATGTAGCTGAAGAGGTTTCTTTAGCACATTGTACTGTTCCAGATGATGTTTTAGCCTCTGACATAACAGCTGAAGCTATGTCTATACCAGAACATGTACTGACAAGTGAGTCAATGCATGTACCTGATGTTGGGCATGTAGAACATGTGGTTCATGATAATGGTGAAGAAGCAGATATTGTCACCGATACTCTGGGAACAGATGTAGTTTCTGAAGAAGTCTTGGTGGCGGACTGTGCCTCAGAAGCAGTAATTGATGCAAATGGTATCCCTGTGGAGCATCAGGATGATAAGGGCAACTGTGAGGATTACCTTATGATTTCCTGTAAGTTTCTGGGTAAAGCAATGCAACATACATAATGAATAACTAACTGAGCTCTGTTTGAAATTTTTCATGTTTTAAATATCAGCAACTAGATCTTTCTCAAATATCTCTAAAAGTGAAAGTCTCACACATGTACATGAAAATTTCCAGTTATAATGTGTTTCTATTAGGACAGTTTGCTAAATGAAGCTAATGTAAAGACAGCTTGAAATGAGTATCTGATTATAAGAAAAAGATTTTTTCTTGGATATTTAAAAGAAAATACTTGTACTTTTTTTACACAATGATAATGTAACACAGAAGAAAGGTTTCAAATAACTGCTATGTACTTAATAAGAATTACATTGAAATAAACTTTGCATAAACCTAGTATGTTTGTATAAACATTATGGTCTAGCATATATGTTTATGCAAATATACATGGCACAGAACTATGAAGAAAGCAGAATAGTTTAATGTTAGGTGGGAAAAGAGTCAGAGCTGTTCTGGTTTTCTGCAGTCTGAAAAAATGTCTTAAGTCTGAAACATTATCCATGATCTTGTTTCTGCTTAGCTTCTCTTCTAGTTGTATACATATGCAGCAGTACATTTTTCCTATACAGTTTTTTATTTTGATGAAACTGACAATGTGAGGATAGTCATTGCTGGGCAACCTCAAATTCAATCTGTTGCTTTCTAATTTTTTTTAGATTTCCCTTTTTGTTGGTAACAGTAGTACAGTCAGTTTACATCATAATATTTAAAGAAGCATAAGCTTGGCAGATTGGTCCACCAGAACATCAAGTTCATTCCTTTGATGATGATATGTTTTTTCACAAATTAATGCTTATATTTTATAGTGTGATCTGACATGCTTAGGTCTAAGATGACTTATCAAAAGGATAAGTGTATCTGCTTGCCTTAAGGTCATAGAAAAGGGTTTTTTTTATATTTATTATTTAGCCCATTTAGTTGGACATTACAGGTTGTTTTCCAGCTTTACTTGGGACAAGAAGGGATACTAAAGTGATAATATAGCATGAATCTTGATTCATTTCCAATATCAGTTCTTCGTTATCTGTCTGCTTTTTGTTCTTTAAGCATTATTTTGTTTTGGTTTAATTATAAATCGTATCTAAGGATGTCAATATGTTTTCTTCTTGCTTCATGATGACAGGATTTCTTTATTGCCTTCATTTTGACTTCCCAGGTGTTAAATAATCTTGTGCTCCCATTTTTTAAATTAACAAAGAAAATACCTTAAGATCTCTGAAAGACTTACCCCACTAAGAAGCCACCCTGAATCTGTTTCTTATCAACAAGGATCCTGGTTTTCTCTTATTAAACAAAAGAAATCAATCCCTAATTTTCAAATTAAAAAGTAACCCAAAATCCATATTTTTATGTGATTAAAATGATACCACTTATATAAGATATTATATAATACATACAATATATATTTTATAATATCTTGTATAAGTGTTGTTTCATTTTAATCACAAAAAATTGTGGATTTTGAGTTACCCAATTTTTGGATTAAAAAAAGTTGTTTGGGTTTTTTGGGGGTTTTTTGGTGGTGGTTTTTTTTTACATCCAAGAAAACCAGGATCTAGAACCATTAAGGTTTTTTGTATTCTCAACAAATTACTTCTCCCACTAGTAGAGTTGCTATACTCTATTTGCTATTAAGTAAGTTAATGCCTTTTTAAGTATTTTTTTCAGTATATTTAGCCTTTCTAGTTTAGATAATTAAGTAAATCAAAACTGTCCTTTTGTTACAAAACATACCTGTCATCTTTCTTTAAATTTTGGGGTTGAAGGTACATGTCAGAATTTAAGTTAAATGAAAGTCACCATTACCACGTACTGTATTGTTTAAGGCCTGACCAACAAGTTCTGCTGGTTCTGAAGTAGCTAGTGTCTTAGTACTCCCTCTCATTAAGTGGAGTTTGTCCAACTGACAGACATTATTATAGAGGGGAAAAAAAGTCCGGTGTTCCTTGAATTCAAATCCCTCCTCTTTATATCATCAGTGCATCTAATGGTTTTCACCATGAGTTATCTCCTTCAGATGCACTTATTACTCAGTGCGCTCAGAGGTCACCAATATTAACCTCACCTTTGTGGGTTTTTTCTTTTTCCTTTCTAAGTCATTGCTTTTACCCTTGATTTTTACCAAATCTCCTTTCAGTTATACCTGTTTTATTTACCACCTTGGAGAAATAGTTTGAGTAGGATTTTGTTTGGATGGCAAACAAACTACAATGCCTGACAGAGTATCCAAAAGCTGCCAATTTCCTTTTATGCAACAGTATATGGATATTTGTCTTTATTCTTCAGAAAGCCTTTTCACATATTATTATAACCTGTCACTTGAGAGGCAAAATACTACTCTTCACTGTACGTTAGTCACAGATTATTTATATCAAGGTCTTCACTGAAATTTGGCAAATCAGTTGGTCTTTTTTCCTGGCTGTTGGTTCCCTTTTGTTGCTTGCTTTTTGCTAGGCAGGTACTATCTTTATTTAGCTTCTTTTTAGTCTGATCATTCTTTCATCATTCAAAATTACCCGTTTTCCATGGTTAAATGGCTCCAGATGTACTTTTCTTATTCTGTCTTGAAGCCTTCTCATTCATGGTTTCAGCCTGCATTGTCTCTTATGATGGTATATCTCTTACTGATGTCCATTCTCTGTGACTTTCCTTCAGCAACTTCATTTGTTTTTTAATCAAAATATTTTCCCTTATACAGGTAATGAAGTTTGTATATCAGAGTGTTTTGGTTTCCTTGGCATGCATTCATTTTCAAGATAATACTCCTTACTACCAATGCCCCTTTCTACTATAGATACTCTTTGTCTTCAGAAACTCAGTTATTTATTCTTTACTAAGTCTGAGCCAGACCAAATATATGACTATAACAGTCATTTTTGCCATTGATTGACTTGGCAGGGAATAGCAGTACCTTATGCAAAGTAACTTGAAAAATCATCAAACCTCTTGGAATCCTTTCCTTTTGCTCGTGCCAAAACAAACCGTATAAGGAAGACTTGATAAATTGCAGCCAAAATAAGATTCTTTCCAGACACATATCGGTCCACTGTCTTTACCAGTAGACCTTAGCTATGACTTGAAAACCCATTTCTCTGTAAATGGAAATGTAAGAATAAGGAGATGAACCAATTTTTAACAAAACTGTAAAAAAAAAATAGTTGTGGAATGATAGATTTCATAGACATTAGGGCTGGAAGGGACCTCGGAAGATCATCGAGTCCAGCCCTCCCCCCCCACAAAGGGCAGGAAGTCAGCTGGGGTCATAGGATCCCAGCAAGATAAGCATCCAATTTGCTCTTGAAGGTGTTCAGTGTAGGTGCTTGAACCACCTCCGATGTCAGGCTGTTCCAGACCTTGGGGGCTCGGACAATAAAGACATTCTTCCTTATGTCCAGCCTGAAACGGTCTTGTAGTAGTTTATGACCGTTCGACCTCGTCATCCCTTGGGGCGCTCTGGTGAACAACGTTCCCCCGGATACTGGTGGTCACCCCTGATAAACTTATAGGTGGCCATCAGATCACTTCTGAGCCTGTGCTTTTCCAGGCTAAAGAGCCCCATGGCTCAGCCTGCCATCGTAAGGTCTGTTTTCCTGACCTCTGATCATGCGCGTGGCTCTTCTCTGGACTCTCTCAAGCTTCTCCACATCCTTTTTGAATTGTGGAGCCCAAAACTGGACGCAGTACTCCAGCTGCGGCCTCACCAAGGCTGAGTACAAGGGGAGAATGATGTCCTGGGATTTGCTTGAGAAGCATCTATGGATGCAAGCCAGCGTTTTGTTCGCTTTAGTAGCCGCAGCATCGCATTGCAGGCTCGTGTTCATCTTGTGGTCAATGATGACACCCATGTCTCTTTCTTCCGTAGTGCTAGCCAGCATAGCACTGCGGAGCCTATAAGGATGCTGCAGTTTTTTCTTCCCAAGGTGGAGAACCTTGCATTTTCCAGTGTTAAAACACCATCAGGTTCTTGTCCAACCATTGCTGAGCCTGTCCAGGTCAGCGTGGATCATCCGCCTGTCTTCTGGTGTGGATGCTTTTCCCCAGAGTTTGGTGTCCTCGGTGAATTTGGCCAGTCCGCTTCTGACTCCAATGTCCACATCATTAATGAAGAAGTTGAGCAATATGGTCACAGGGCACCATGATGAGTGACTTCCATCAATTACTTCCCTCTGGGTCTGACCACGGAGCCAATTTC